GTTTATTGGAGCTACCAGTATTACAGTGGTTTCAAAGCTGAGAGTTTAGCACGGGTTTGGTAGCTGTCAGTTTATCAAGGGTTTGGGAACTGTCAGTGTATCAGGGGTATTGTAGCTGACAGTTTATCAAGGTTTGGGAACTGTCAGTGTATCAGGGGTATTGTAGCTGTCAGTTTATCAAGGGTTTGGGAACTGTCAGTGTATCAGGGGTATTGTAGCTGACAGTTTATCAAGGGTTTGGGAACTGTCAGTGTATCAGGGGTATTGTAGCTGACATTTTACGAAAGGTTTGGGACCTGTCAGTGTATCAGGGGTATTGTAGCTTACAGTTTATCAAGGGTTTGGGAACTGTCAGTGTATCAAGGGTATTGTAGCTGTCAGTTTATCAAGGGTTTGGGAACTGTCAGTGTATCAGGGGTATTGTAGCTGTCAGTTTATCAAGGGTTTGGGACCTGTCAGTGTATCAGGGGTATTGTAGCTGACAGTTTATCAAAGGTTTGGGACCTGTCAGTGTATCAGGGGTATTGTAGCTGACAGTTTATCAAACTGTAAGTTTAGCACGGGTTTGGTAGCTGACATTTTAGCAGGGTTTTGGAAGCTGACAGTTTAGCAGGGGTTTTAGAGCTGACATTTTGACAGGGAGCTGCAGTTCAGCAGGGGTTCGGGAGCTGACAGCTTAGTAGGGGTTTGGGAGCTGTATAGTTTAAACAGGGATTTTGGAGCAGAGGTTTAGGAGGGGTTTGTTTACATTCAGATTAGGTTTACAGTTCAGTTTGGTCGTTTCCCGGGCACCTACTTCTATTTTTAGTATCTATCATTATGTCAATAGGTATTATTGTATTAGAGATATATTCAGGATTAATGCATCAAGGTTTAGAAGTTTCGGAATTAAAGCGGAAAACATTAACATATGTGTAGTAATATTAAAAAATATATAAACTATACAGTTTCTGACAGAAAACCATTTTGATGATTTGGAGACAGTTGATCTGAATACAGTTGATCTGAATACCTATTCTTAGTTTTGATAGGAGTNAGCATAAGGAAAGAAAATTTTGATTTTGTAGAACTGAACAGATTTTTGTGGAATATTTAAAAATCCCAAAACCTTAGAAGTGTTTAAAAGTTATTGCTCCTCGATACATGGTTTCAAACAAAGAATGAAAGAATGAGACTTTATTGAACTCATGAAATATGTCGTTTTTAAATCACGGTTCTTGACCTAACTATATTTCCTTTTAATTGATTTGGAACAGAAAAAAAAAACAAGGAAACAGATTTAGGTAAAAAGTCCTGAAATATCTCTGTATCTAAAATATCTCTGACTCTAAAATATCTCTGCATCTAAAATATTATTTTGTATCCGAAATAATGGTTGGAGACTTAAATGAAAAGTTCTAGAAAATCTAGAATGACAGTCAAGTTGGAGCAAGAATATTTATGAAATCATCTTAAATCTGTTCAACCTGATTTTAAAAACTACGAATTCTGCTTTATCAAAACGTTTCACTTTTAAATTGCAAATCTGATCCTTTCTTATTTTTTTCTTCTATCGATACACAACGGTAACCTTTGAGCCTTTATCTGAAATAACAATTGTTTCTGAAAAAAAGTACAAAGACGAACCAAAATTGAAAATAAAAATATTCCAAGAGAAGATGATGGATATCTCAATCCCAAAATATATTCATAAACCCAGAATTCGATGTTTCTGTTGCAGACAGCACTCCTAGTTTATCTTCGTGTGAACTATTTAAGATAAAGTTGGATCATGAAACCCAGGAGAAACTGTTTTCTTAAGATTAAGATTTACAGCTTGAGAAGCTCAAGACAGATATTTATAATTGTTCCATCACACCACAGACAGAAGTAAATATGTAAACTAAGAGAATATAAGAATAGTATCTGGCAGAAAAGGAAAAATCACAAGAAAAAATGGGTAAGAGCTAAGAAAACGCAACAGTATAGGTAGTAAGTAAACTAAAAAAACGGGGCAAAAAAATTAACGTTAGAGGAAAATTAGTCAAGACGAGATCAATTTATTTAAAGAAAAGTATGCGTGTAAAATACAGAAATATAAAAGAGACAATAACACGTGCATTAAAGGTAGAAAGGAGGAAAGGTGCAACCTACCCTGCTGTGAGATCTTTATTAAAAACAATAAATAATGGACGGGAGTGAAAACAAACAAACAAAATACTTCACCCCCCCCCCCCCTCCTCCACCCTTCATGCAATTCCGCTTCATTAAGTGGAAGATACTATAGGGTTAAACCAACAAGCTTAATTCATCCCCTCTCACCTCTCAAAGATTTTATTTGCAATGGGGGGGGGGGAGGGGAGAGAGGTGTGTTTTAAACACCTCTGAACACCTTAATTTTTGTTTGCACAAAATAAAATGCATTTTGAAAAAAAAATATTTTGTAGGTAAAACTTAAGCTTTATTACAGAATTGTTCATACTGATAGATATAGCTTACAGATTATCAGAACCATTAGAACCCGATTCCAGCTTTTTTTCTTGTAAAAGATGTTAAAATTCATATAAAATTTACAACTATGGATTATGCCGCGGGCTCGGGTACACTAATAAGATGATAGATACTTTCCCAAAGACATTTTCCCAAGCGGCAACTTACTAAGGGTATTTTCCCAAGTGGCAACTTCCCAAATGGGCAATTTCCCAAGCGAGAACTTCCCAAGTCTGTTCAGTTGCCTTTGGGAAAGTTGTGCATCGTAAAAGTTCTTTTTTCCCTGAATAATACTTTTTTCCCTATTCCTACCATTCTGTTTTAATTCTAGTGTTCTGCTCGTCTCATTTAATATTGTAGTATTATAATTTTATCAAAGTTTTATTAGATTTGATCAAAGGGATATATTTGATAAACGGATTGATATGAAAATCGTCAAGACAGGTTCTATCAGTGTGATGTATCAGTCGAACTGTCCTTTAATATTTTCGATATTTTTAACACAACAATAGGATTTCTTCTAATATTGCTGGTTTCCCTAACTTTCAGCACCCCTGAAGTACAGTATCCTGGAAGCCCCTGACCCTTCCAACAAGAATTATGTGTTGCCCCTTTTCTTCTCTCCTCTTTATCCCACCTGTCTAATAAATGGTCTACAAGTTTAATTTGCATAATTATACATGTATATACATATATATAAAATATATATATATATATCTACATATATTATATCTCTTAAGCTTAATCTTTTTAAGCGACGTTATACTCGTAAAATCGCCTTTTATTCTATTCGAAACGAATTTACAAGTTTAGACCTGAACAAAATTCTCAAAAATAAAGTACGTCAATTAGTTTAAAATGTATTCTTTAGAAAAATCCTTTTATCAAACCAAGCCAGTTTTTTTTGCCTTTTTGGTGTAAGAGGGAAATTATAAATAATAATAATAATAATAATAAATAATTTTAAATTAGTAGCAGTAATTTTGCAAAAATATAAACTTATATAGTTTAACTAGTTATAAAATGAAATACTAAACCCTGATTAAAACTCAGACAAGGAAAAATTTAAAGTTGCATTACTTTATGATTTTCTACTGGTATGTATAGTAAGTAATTAGTATGTAGTAAAGAATATAAACTAATTACATTCTCCTCCGTGGGTAAACTAGACCATATTGTAGATCATTGCTCTGATCTGAGAAAATTTTGACCTGAGAGGTTGCGTGATTTTATTATTTCCATGTTTTTCTATTTGCTTCAGTTTCTGATGGGTTCTCTCTCTGTTTCCTTGTCTGTATTCCTGAACTGATGAGCTAATCCTGAACCCCTGGAATCTCTCTCTGTATTCCTGAACTGATAAGCTGATCCTGAACTCTTGGTTTCTCTCTCTGTATTCCTGAACTGATAAGCTGATTCTGAACTCCTGGTTTCTCTCTCTGTATGACTGAATTGATGAGCTGAACCTGAACCCCTGGTTTCTCTCTCTGTATTCCTGAACTGATGAACTGAACCTGAACCCTTGGTTTCTCTCTCTGTATTCCTGAACTGATGAACTGAACCTGAACCCCTGGTTTCTCTCTCTGTATTCCTGAACTGATGAACTGAACCTGAACCCTTGGTTTCTCTCTCTGTATGACTGAATTGATGAGCTGAACCTGAACCCCTGGTATCTCTCTCTGTATTCCTGAACTGAAAAGATGAACCTGAACTCAAGGTTTCTCTCTCTGTATTCCTGAACTAATGAGCTGAACCTGAACCCCTGGTTTCAGCATACATCTGTTCTCTTCAAACATTGACAGTAATTCCCTGTTCTCCCATCATATCAAATCATTTACATCTTTATTATATCATGCCAGTCTAAACCTAACTAGTAAATAATTGAGTAACTGTCAATCTATCTGAACATTTATTTATCTCAATATCAATCTACTCTCGACCCTTCTATCTCCGGGTCTTTTTATACCTTGAAGCTATCTATATATTATATATATATTTAAATTGTCTATTCGTGCATCAATCATATTTTCTGAAACTTTTATTTCTATCCCTCTTTCTTTTTATTCACAAATTTACGGCTATGTCTTGGTTTGTCTTTTTTTCATTTTTCATTGATTTTTTCAAGATTTAGTGTTAGAGAGTCTCAACTCCTTTTGTATCCAATTAAACGCAAGTTTCGTTTGTTTTAACATATATTTTAAACATTGCACTGAGCTAGATAAACTTGATTTATTCAAATAAACGTGGAAAAAACTTTTTTGTGTTGCTTAGGTTTATCTTTTTTCCTAGGTGTTTTAAACTCCTTCTCATCAATCAATATTCTTTCTACAATTTACTCTCTTGCTCTTCACTAGCTAGCTTTTATCCCTTGAGAGTCCAGACTGTCCGATAATATCTGTCTCTCTCAGATATTTATGTAACTCATTCCTCTCACATACTGATCATTCATACTATCCATACATTCTCCTACCCTTCACTTACAATATAGAATATTCATATTTTGTCCTCAGCCTATTCTCACACTTTTTATTGAATCAATAATAGGTTTATTTCTTTATTCATATATTTTCTTATAATTTACAATAAACATGACTCGTGATTAAGTTTGTTCTAAGTCTGAATTAATATTTTATCTGAGACTGGTTTGCGTATATATGAGGCAGAATCAAAAGAGTTTCATCAAAGTTTGGTATCGGAGGCAGTCTTGGAGTTCCTCCGGAGGATGAGGATGAATCTACGGATGATTCCTCCAGGTAGGAAATATCAGTGAATGAATGATTAAGATTGCTGGGAGATTGATAAACTTGATAAATACTCTGGGGTGTAGAGTATATAAGTGAGAGAGGAGAAGAATACTCGGAGAATAAGGTTGGAGATGAATATACTCCAGGTTCCTGGTAAACAGGTTCAGGTTCATCTCCGTAATATTTCTCCAGTATACTGCTGGATATGGATACACTACTAAGACTAGGATATCTCTTTAATCCTCTTCTCTTAAGTAGAACCAGGATAACTCCCAGGAGTAGAACAGACAAGGTTAACAGTCCTCCGATTAATATTCCAAGAAACTTTGTTCTATCAGAGTTCTCTAATGGAAGAGGGTTAGGAGTAGGAGAACAACCCAGAAGTTCTATCCTCATACAAACAGTTCTCATATGTTTACTATATGGAACTATTCTCACCTTGGTTGCTAGTATTGATGGTTTAAGAAGAACTCGGGATTCTGTAAAAGTATCCGTATTTCCGAGAAGTATGCTTTCTCCATTATCTCCAGTATATTTGATATACTCCTCCATCCCAGGGTTCCAGTACTCCAGGGTATAATATTCAGCAAACTCCTGACCCAGACCATTCGCAAACCTACCCTGAGTAATTACTCCGGTCACAGAATGTTCTTCTCCAAGATCTATTTCCAAATATTCTCTAGATTCTTGAGAAATAAAACTTTTAGGACACCATGCTCCACCTCCATGTTCAGCATTTAACCGTCCTCTCTCCTTGCCCTATTTAGATAATAACTCTACTTCCTACTCTATCTATTACTTAGTTAACAACCCTATACTCCCTATTTTAGCTCTATGACTCTATATAATTTGGACCACAATAGACTGCAAAGGTTTAACCCTTTTGAATCGAATCTAGTTTACCTACTCTTTAATAAGATGTCAAGATTTTATAGTATTTTATACTCAAAATTGAAAATCTGACTTAAAGTTTTCGAAGTTTTCGATGTCCAAATTCTAAATTTGAGGATTTTAATATCACGATTCTGGAATTAAAAATTTACTGTCATAATTCTAAACCTAAAGACTTTACTGTCAAAAAAGTCTAGATTTAAATATTTGTGCTCGATGTCCAAATTCCAAATTCAAAATTTGAGGATTTTAATATCACGATTCTGGAATTAAAATTTACTATCATAATTCTAAAACCAATGATTTAACTGACAAAAAATTCTAGATTTAAATATTTGTTGGTTAAAAACCCAAGATTGTGATAAATTAAAAAAAAAAATTTTTTTTTAAAAATAGTTTATCACTGGATTTCAAATTCTACTGATCCTTCTTCTTGCCATATATCTAGATATGAGGATTATAATGACATAGTTAAAGATCTTGGTGACATTATTCAAGGTTTTTCTTTCTACTTAGTTAAACCGAAACCTGGAAGCTAGCTGACTGCCAGAGGGATCTCAGAGCTGCACTTCTCAACGGAAAAAATAACGGTAAAAATAGAATTCCATGAGCCACGGTGAAGATTGACAGATTTCCTTCAATTTCACTGGATTTTATATCTATTTTATACAGAGGACAATGGCGTGCACATGGACCACAATGGACTGCAAAGGTTTAATCCTATTGAATCAAAGTTAAAGATTTTTTTGCTACAAGTCTTGATTTAAATAGGTGCGGTCATATGTCTGCGTCCACAATTTTCCTATTTACCCAATTTCTTTTTTAATTTGCAAATAATCTTCTGTATGTAATGTTCTTAAATGCGTCACTATTTAAGAGTATATAATTTAAAAACTGAATTTACTTGAGTTGAATGTAAGCACTACGGAATGTTCTAAATAAACAATTTCTTTCTTCGCAAAAACTTCTTTATAAATTCTGCTCAAAAATGCTTCACTAAATAAACAGTGTAAGATTTAGAATTAGACTTTATCTTGAGTAGAATGTAAAGACCAACGAATCTTTGAATTAAACACTTCACAAATAATTCTTTATAAATACTGTTCCAAAATTCGTCACTATTGACGAATATATGATTTAAAATCGGAATTTATTTGAGTTGAATGTAAGCACTACCGTTTGATTTAAATAAACTAATATTTTCTTTTAATTATTCAGTTTGAACAGAACTGAAACGCCTCCGGGACTAGCAGAAAACGGCGACAAACTACAACTCCGAGAAACCAAGATGTCACAAGATAAGGGGACAACGAAGAGACTGGAGTCTTGTCTCTCTCTCTTTCTGTCGACCATCCATGTTTATATTGCTGAAATGTTAACAAGGAATCTCAATGATCCTAGTTAGTACATTTCCTAAATATGTTGCCTCAATACTAAAAGAGCTAACATACTTGCTCTTTGGTTTAAAAGATACTAACGATGAACCATCAATGTTCTTATTTAGTATACTTCTTAATTATTATGTTCCTTCGGTCACCTTGCTTATGAAGCCTCAATGGTATTAAAAATGAACCATCAATGTTCTTATTTAGTATAGTTCTTAATTATTACGCTCCCTCTTTCACCTTGCTTATGAAGCATCAGCACTAAAGAGTTAGCATGAATTCGCTTAAAATTAAAAGCGTTCCTCGTTGGTATGATTTCTAATTATACTGTACTCTATATAATTCCCTCTCAGATAATAACCCTACTCCCTACTCCAACTCTATAACTCTATATAATCCCTACCGAGGTAATAACCCTACTTTCTACTCCAGCTCTATAACTCTTAGCAATACTTACTCAGTTAACGACCCTTCTCAATAACTCTACGGAATCAATCCCTACTTATTTAACAAAAATACTCCCTACTCTAGCTCTATAACTCTATATAATCCCTACTCAGGTAACAACCCTACTCCCTGGTCTAGCTCCATATCCCACTAGTATCAGAACCTGGTATCTCACCTCCACTGAGCAGACGCCACATCCCGCATTCACACAAATTTCTAATTAACGAAAATATGTCAAAATTTGTTCAAATCTAATTGATATTTTCATTCTTGGTATAATGAAGTGTTAACTATTCATATGTTTTAAATATTCAATTTGTTTTGTGTATAGCATACTATATCTGTATTTTTTGCTGTATCCTGTATCCTATATATGTATATGTATTATATCCTGTATCCTGTATTCTATATATCTTGTATCCTGTATCTCTGTGATAAATAGTGGTACTTGAGACCCTATCAAAGTTAAACTATTAATCAATGAAACTTCTTCCTAATTGAAATTAGATTCACAAACTTCTTAAATATTTCAACTAGGGTATAAAAGATTCTAATTTGTCTAATTTGTCTAATTATTTTAATATTTATCAGAAAAAGTAAATAAGGAAAAACTAAAACAATTTTTTTTGAGATTGCCTCCACGTGTTGAAATAAAATCTGTTTTTGTTTAAATCTTAAAAAATGGATTTAAAGGTTAAAGATCCGTAACCGCGCTAAAACTTCCATATGAGACGGCTCCTCTCCAAGCTATTAGTTCTGACCTTGTCACTAACCTTTCGAAGCACTGTTTAACAGATCTCAACTGAGAAACCAGGGATATATACATATCCTTCAGTTAAAAATTCAGCTAAATCCAAATTAATATTACAAACTTTATTTTTTTAATTTTTCTGGATTAGGTTGTTATACGTGAAGAATAAGCTCCCCTGAAAAACTGTTGTTGACTGTAAGAATATCCTAGTCTGGTTTAATAATTTCTATCGTTTTCCTATAATTTATCTAAACTTAATAACAGAACCCGGAGAAAACAATCTCGTTGTTTCCGGTCGAATTTAGTTCTCTGTTCTATAGATACCTTTCATTTTCTAGTAGTTCTCTAGTCCAGTAGTCCGGTAGCTCTGTAGTCCAGTAGTTCTGTAGTTCTGTAGTCCAGTAGTCCAGTAGTTCTGTAGTCCAGTAGTCCAGTAGTTCTGTAGTCCAGTAGTCCAGTAGTTTTGTAGTACAGTAGTCTTGTAGTCAAGCAGGTAACAATAGTTCTGTAGTTCAATAGTTCTGTAGTCCCGTAGTTCTGTAGTCAAGTAGTGTAGTCTAGTCGTTCTGTAGTCCATTATTTCTGTATTCCAGTGGTTCTGCTGTAGTCCAGTAGTTTTGTAGTCCAGTCGTTCTGTAGTCCAATAGTTCTGTGGTCCAGTAGTTCTGTAGTCCACCAGTTCTGTATTCTGATAGTTCTGTATTCCAATAGTTCTGTAGTCCAGTAGTTCTGTAGTCCAGTAGTTCTGTAGTCCAGTAGTTCTGTAGTCCAGTAGTTCTGTAGTCCATCAGTTCTGTAGTCCCGTAGTTCTGTAGTCAAGTAGATCTGTAGTCTAGCAGTTCTGCAGTCCATTAGTTCTGTAGTCCATTAGTTCTGTAGTCCAGTAGTTCTGAAGTTCATCAGGTCTGTAGTCCATCAGTTCTGTGGTCCCGTAGTTCTTTAGTCAAGTAGTTCTGTAGTCTAGTAGTTCNGAGGGGGGGGGGGGATTCTGGAGTGGTTGAAGTTTTAAAATTTATAAACAGAAAATTAACTCAGAAATGTATAGTTCTATTAAATATATAAAAAATGTTTGTCGGAAAATTTATGATAGAAAAGTTTAAAGAAAATGAAGAGGAGGACTCACACTCAACGGAATCCACAGATTAAACGAAACATAGAAAAGAATATGGATTAAACAACAGGATAGTTGCACTTATCCATCCCTCCCTCCACAGTCCATACATCTTAGCAAAAATGTGAATGGTTTGGTTTCAGAGTTATATACGTAAACAAGTTTAATCCTTGCTCCGCCCTCGCTCTCTATAGGGGGCGGAGCTGGATAAACATATTCAACAAAGAATGAAACATGATCGAGGAAAACAAGGGAGAAAACAAAGCTAAAAGCAGATTTACAAAAACTAAAAGAATATTGGCTTTAAGTGCGCTTTGTCCCCATGAGCATTCGTCTAGTAAAGATCTCAGCATCTGAATATTGCTTTTTCAGCCGCATTTTTTTTCTTTGTAATGGTAAAACTCTAAATTTTGCGGATTTTTATGATACCATTGTTGGATTTCTAAAATTAAAAACCCCGACATTTTTTCTTTAGGCCTAACCAGGGGTCATATAGATGTACACTGTACACTGTACAGAGATAACCAATATATGTATAGCTTTTTTGCTTTCTTATTTTTTCAGAAATATCCTCTTTCACTATTTTGGCAGATTTTATTAGTTCTAGAGTCGGATACAAAACTTAAAATCCTAAGCTGCGTTTTAAAATAAAGAAAAAAGTGACAATAATGATTCCGCATTGTATTGTTTATTATTGAATGTAATAAATTAAAAAAAGTGCAAATAACGACCTATAAAAGTAAACAGAAAGACCATAAAAACAGAGGGAAACAGCTAAAACCAGGATCGAGAGAAAGGAAGAAGAACAGCATGTCTACCAAGGTTATAATGCACGAATTAATTGCAGTTGCGTATACTCTGCGTGCATATTGAAAACAGTTCTCTCTGGGCGGATTTGTAAACAAGAATAGATACATCAGTGTTCCTTTAGTATCCGAGAAGGTTAAAAGCATTAAATTTTGACAATTTTGATAATTCATATAATAGTTTCCTATTACCAGTATATTTCTTTGATTTTTTATGTGAAAGATGGATCCCATGTCAGGCTTCGACAGTACACTTCAGTACAAAAGATGTGTACACCTCTGAAATAACTTTCCTTGCATTATAACCTTGATGTCTACTGTCTGGTATATATATAGTATACACTGTATACACTGTACAAATACAAGGATAGGATGATACCCTGCAATAAGGTCTAAATCCTCCCAGGGGAAATCTACTAAGACTTTAACCTGGAAAACACTCCGAACCATTCCTGGCGTTGCTCTGGGTACAGATTACAGATTATTCCAACCTTCAAGGTTCAGGAGCAGGAATATCATTTACCAAACTGCTCCCAACTGAGAAACAAGAAGAAAATGAAAATTCAATAATTTTCAAACCACATTCACTTTTCAGACCATTTTTAGAACATTCGAAACTTTGTTAGAATTAAAAGTGTACAGCAGTTTGGGAAGAAAGTTAACAAACTGTTTATCAGGGTTGGATAGCTGGGGATCAGGGCTGGATAACTGGGGATCAGGGTTGAATAGCTGGGGATCACGGTTTGATAGCTTAGAAACAAAATGTTAAATTTTTATTCCAGGAACCCCCCTCTCTATTTTTGTAAGAGGTTTTTAACAACGTGTTGGTGCTGTTGAGCTCAGAGTGTCTGTCAATAAATAATGTAAGACTTAGGGTGGTTTCTATTCATACATTTTTTTTATTCAATTTCTCCATTATTGTGGTTTATTCTATTATATTTAAAGTGTTCTGTTTACACTCTGCTCAACAGAGGAAATGTTTGTTTTTATATGAATTGTCAACAAAGGTTTCCGGTAAAAGGGATAAAGAACTTATCTATCTTTCTTCCTTTCTTTCTATGATTATAGACTAGTACCAATATACGCTCAGTATATATATAATAGTTCCTTTAAGTTCTTATCTCACATCATTCATCGTTATAAATTTATCTATCCATATCTATCCATATCTATCCATATCTATCTATATCTATCTGTATCTATCTGTATCTATC